TCAGGGTTAGCCAAGGACTCATTTCCGGTGCAGTCAAACCTCCACTTCACAGACACCCAATTAATTCAGACACCTCATCATTACAGACAGTTTGATTGGTCTCTGGGGAAAAAAAGCCCCTTAATACCGACACCCTTTTAATACAGACATTTTCTATGGCCCCCTTAGTGTCCATATTAACAGTGTTTGACTGTACTTACTGCCTGGTAACAAAGCGTGGAAACTCCTATATAAACTATATTGTAGGTATGTGTGGCCCTAAAAGGTGTGGTTTATTAAAGCCCTGTTTTTTGGTCAAAGAAATAACAGCAAACTGATCCTTAAATTTTCCTAGTAACCACGCCCAGGCACTCCTGCATGAACTATAATTGGTCCTCAAAAGTGTAGTTTGTCAAAGCCCTGTTTTTGGTCTGGTCGTCTACTTCTCTCCTGCTCACAGCACTGGAGAGGCAGAGGTGGGTACAAAATCTTAGTACCTTTCTTTTTCAGTTCGTTTCATTAACTTCAGGACAGAAGGCATTAGCTGTGGTAAGAACAGAATGGCATGGACTTGAAGACCACTAATCACTTCTGCTGCACATAGCAGTGCACTGGAGGCAACCTGAAATAAATGACAAAGATCACAATTAATCTAAACAACATCACATATGATGCTGTACAAAGCGGGTTATATTTTACTGTGACCATTCAAATGAAAGTTTATAAGTAGTATTATTTGTGGTACTGTAAAATAGGCAGAGATTGTGGTTCTAACTCTTCAGTCTGTGTATGATATCCTGAGCTCTGACAGTTGAAATAATACACAGCAAGTACTTTGTCGCGGTTGCTGATTGTTGCTATGCCTATGTTTCCATACACCAGAGCACAGGTCTCAGTCTGAATGGTTGAGAGAAGGGGGGGAACTCTTCTCTTCCCAAATGTTACTTTCCCGCACCTCCCAATTCCCCAGGGGTTACCCACGGGCAACCCAGGCATAACTGACCTGCACATTAGCATCTTTGGACGAAAACACTTCAATAGATGTGGACATCACCTAAACAAACAAAACACAACAAAATTTGAGTCGCTGATTCACTTCAACAATACAACATATTTTGTAACATTACTGCTGTGGTGAAGAGTGAGGAAAAGTGACACACCTCCTTAAAAGGACTTGGATGGTCTTTTGCCAACAGTCGTGAAAGAAGCTTTAAACTGTAGAGAGCTGTTTGTCTGTTTATAATGGATTCTTCACTTTCCCCTGTGCCTCTTGATATCAGAAGTAACTCAGCCAACAGGTTAAGAAGTATCCCAACCTATAAAGACAGGGAAGAAAATTTGGAAACTCAAATTTCTAGCAAAGTCCGTACTTGCAGTACCTAAAAAGGATGACATACATGCAGATACAAACATACATGACTTAATTTTATCTCGAATTTACAGAGTAGCTCAAAAGTTAATATCTTGTGCTTTTGAATCAACAATAGTTTTATCATGATTACATGAGCTGATGTCAAAACTTTCCACTGCCATGTGGTTTTAGCACACCTGACAGCAAAAAAGCTTTTCCACATTGCGAGGGAACTGGAATGGACTCTTGATTCAGGTAAAAGTAAGGTCCTTATTTTACGTTGTTACATGTGACTCGTTAGACTGCGAGCAGCATCTCTTTTTCTTCAGATTTAGTAAGGGGAGTGCACGCGCGTGAGTGTTGAGAGGCAAAGCCACGAGCCTCTAGAAACAAGGGTGGTATCCTGTCTTGCGCTTTCAGTCACGCGCTTGGTCATTTGTGTGTCTCGGCCACTTTGCTCGACGGACCAAGAAAAAAGAGAGAGTGCTCGTAGCCTAGTGACTCGTTACTCGTTGAGGTGGACGGTGCCATCATTTTACTCCCCCCCCTCTCTCTACATCAGTTCTCTGTTTTACAGGTATTTAAAGCAACTTAAAGCTACACACAAAGGAAAGAAGTCACACAGGGATTTGTGGTCACACCTGGGAATCAAACTCGGGACCTCTCGCACGAGATAGACTGCGTACTAACCGCCTCTGCTAATCGTTGCTTCTTAGAAGTCTTAAGTTAGCGGGCTACGAGACTTACAATGGCCCAACCTTTCTGATGCTTAATAGAAGAACCATTTGATTTACTGGTTATAGGTACCCAAAATTTCAAAGGTAAAATACCTGATCATCAGAAATGCTCCCTGCATATTGGCTCAGTTTACTATTCAACAGTTCCATTGCTTTACGCCTGACTGTAGAACTGCTGCTGTGCAGCAGCTTCTTTATGACATCGAAAAATACTGAGGCAGGCAAGAGAAGGTTAACCTGGAAAAGAAAGGTAGTTTTCATGGTGAAAAACAATGGATAACACCACAACTCAAGTCTGAGCAAAACTGATTCAATTCCATTTGGTCACGACTTTAAACATCTCCTCTAAGACACCTCTACAGTTCTAATGCCTCACAATAAATGGACAGTTTCCTTGGTCCAAAAGTTGACAAACTAAATACAATGCTTACTTTTTAAACACAGACATACGAGGTTGTCCCCTTGGCCATATATCTACAAACTGAGCTAACTTTGGCATACAGCCCTGCTGTGTACAGATGACATTTGAGAAAACTTCATTTTGGAGAGTTTACAAAATACATGGTATGACTTACCTTATCAACAATTTCATAGGTTTTGTGCAGCATTGCTTTCCAGAATTTGCCACTAGCATCATGAGGTGCATGTTCACTGTGTTGAGCTACTTTAGTCATAAAGTTCAGAGTATCTTCCAGTAATCTGAAATGACAAAAGTAACTAGGGTCAATACATGTATCTATGTTTGACCTCCTAAAAGCGCAGTTCAATGAACTGCTGGCACCCATCTTTAATCAAGATGACTTCGTAATAATTTCATAAAGGATGTCCTTCCACCTCACGTACTTGAATTAATGAGAGAATTGCATGCTGTCAACAATACACATGACTTAGGAACCTTTCAAAAATACACTTTCAACGCAACACCGCTCCTGCCTCCCTTTTAATTCTTTATCAATAAAAAAACAAACAAACAAACAAACAAACAAAATGGCAGAGTACCTGAGAAACAGTGTGTTTAAGATTTCTCCCTCTTCATGGACCTGTAGTAAGATGTATCAAATTTTGGTGTTGAATTAAGGTCACTACAACTAGACACTACATTTTCTTGCCTGAAGGGTTACTCCCCCTTAGATATGTATGCAGCTACGAGCTAGCTACGAGCTGCATAATGGGGCTGTGAAAATAAAACAACAGATCAAGAATGATGTATCCATATTCAAGAAAATTCAAGCAGGTATAATACAATTTCCAACATAGGAAAAAAGCTTCACAATAAACTAAATACAAGTATACAGTACAGGGTATTTAAAATGTGCCAATTTCTGTAAAAGGGTACGTATCATCTTCAATACAAATCCTACTCATACACCCCAAACCTACTCAACTCCCCCCTTCCCCCCAGTACTGGAACCAACTTCCCACCCAAAAACCTTTGCACTGACCTTGCTAACAAAGTCTTCACTGTCAAGAAGGGAGGGTATAAGAGTCAGACATGTGTACTTGATCTGCCGCAGATGTTTAGCAGAGTGCTTGTCTACATCAAAGACAGGTATTACAGCCAGGAAGGTATTGGCAGTTTTCCGACTCATCCTAGGCTTGTGACGAACTAAGAAGAAGTGTAAGGGTCATTAGACAGTAATAAAGCAAAGAAGAGACTGGTGATTGAGTGGTTGAACAAATAAACTACCACAAAAAATAACAATACAACTAGCAAACAATACTTTTCTTGTAAATTGACAATTCATTCAGTTGTTCATTCAGTTGGTTAGTCAGCCAATAAGCTGTGGTCAAGCAAACAGTTTTTCACTGCATTATTTATTTTGCATAGTTGGTGAAGCCAGTGTCAGAAAGTGACTCAACTAGTGATTTTTCTTCTCAAAAGGATCACTCCTTCAAACACGGGGAATACACTTTTCATCAGCCACTGGACTTAACAAAATGGAAAATGTCTCATAAAATGTGTCATAAAACTAAAAAACTTGTACTGTCTACAATCACAAAGAAAGATAAACTTAAATCTTCAAGCCCTGATATCCACCTACAAATTCTCCAGACTGAACTCCATATATTTCCATAAAGAATATGTCGAGAGAATTTAATAAAAGATCAAACACTTATTTCTCCTTTCATTTTTTCGTTTTATTATTCTCATAATGTTTTCTCTTGATTATGTGTTAATATTGTTGAGAGGAACTTGACATTGATCACTCAGTAATGTAACCTACCTTCAGGTTTTTCAAGTGGCAATTGATCAATAAACTGCAAAAGCTTTAACATGGCCTCAACCTTAAATAAACAACAAAATGGATGTTAGCAAGAGTCAATCAAGATACAGCAGGGCTGTCACTAGGATTTCAAGTTGCCACCTACCTACATGTAATTAGTAGCAAGGCTGTGATATAAAGGAAATTTGTAGGGAGCCAAGTGCTATGAACCTGTAAAATCTATGGTGCCCAGCATATGATTTGCATGAAAAAGAAAAAACAACAACTAAGATTATCTAGTCACCCAAGGGCAAAAGTTAGGTGCCAGGGCCCACCGGGCTCTGCTAGAGCACAGCCCTGAGAAGATGGGAAATTCAACAGCTAGGAATTAAAAGTTCTCTTAGTTGTGTTTTCCATTTGTTTGCTGTGAAATTAGTTGTGAGACATGCTCATAGAAGCCAGAGGAAATCCCTAGCCCCCAGTCCCCAGCCCCAAGTGACAGCCTTGTAAAGGAACTAATCGAAGGTGGCAATTAAAGCAGTGCTGATGAGTATAACAGCCCAAGTGACATCCAATTTGACATTACATTCTTTTTCCACAATAAATTACCTTGTGTTAGTTAGTCAATGAAACAAATGGAGAATTTAAAATTGGATCAGGAGTCCCTTGAGGCCTCTCTCCATTCACTACTTCTTAAATTTGCAAGTTTGTAGTTGTAAACAGTACCTGGACGTGGGAATCAAAATTGTGGCAGAGGCTCAGACAAAACTCCACTCCAAGAGGATTCTTAATGCCAGCCTGTAATGGGATTAAACAAAGCATTAAAAAGTGTCATTAATCAATGAAAAACACCTTTGGGACAAGTACTAATAATGCCTTAGAGGAAGTAATATGCAACTAAGAGAACCTCTCATCAAATGAGACAGGCTCTCGTCTCTTATGTCTCTACTATAACGATTGTACACCTGAGAAATGAGTCTTTTTAGAGGATTTGACTGCATAAGACAGGCTATCTATAACAGGGTGAAAACAGGTTATAATATTGGGTGAAAGCATTAATACCCCTGATGCATGTTTACATCAGTAAAGCAAATTTTACCACCAAGCCTTGTTTTAAAATTGTACAGTTGCAAAGTTTTGCATAAATGAATTCCCAAGGCAATAGAGTAAGAAAAAATACCCACACCCAGAGAGTATTTTGCTTACAAACAAGGCTTGGTGATGAAATTTGCCCATCTGATGTAATCAGGCATAGGGGCCATTATATTGTTAATCCTAGATGATCCTGTGGTTGACTTCAATGCAAACCTGTTTGTCTCCATCAGGATTGCTTGCACCATGAATAACATGTCTCTCAAGCAACAGAAGGACAGCAGTATGAAGAAATTGAAGGGAACCAAGAGTACTGATCAGATGTGTAAAGAGTGGAAGCTGACGGTGTTCAGGGATGTGAGGTGATGCATCAACAAATACTCTTATCAGCATGGCTACGATATCATCCAATGATATGCCACCCTTCTTTGTGAGCTGAGGTAGTTGATGCTTTTCACCAGCCTGTAAGGAGGGATAGGTCAATGTATTTATTTTTCATGTGAAAACTGAATTGCAAGAAACCATAGGAGCCTGCAATCCTAATCTCTAGGTTGCCATCAACCATGCTTGGCACGTACATGTATGTGGCCAGCACTCATTTGGACTTCCACTTAGAGAAAATCAAATCCACAGAACACGATCTCATCATGCGTGTTTGGACCTTTCATCACTTTGAAATCTGATCATGCATGTTTTGACCTTCTATCACATGAAACTTACACAATGCACAGCATTAGATCAAGAACATTTTGAGCTTAGATCACTCTCACTAGTCCACTGGTCCATCTCACACTTAAAACATCTACCTGTAGGCCAGTCACTGTGCTGTCTGTGTGTCAGTCTATCCGTAAATTAGTCTGACAGCACTCAATCAGTCTGTCTGTCTGTCCATTAGTATGTCTTTTAGTTAACAGAGCAGTCAGTATGTTAGTCAGCCAGTAAGCCAGGTAAGTAAGGCAGTTTGGTACATATGTAGCAGGTGAGTGTATGAAAGTCAGTTATGTCAACAAGTCAGGCAGTCATCTGCAAGTCAGAAAGTCACTCAGTCACATCAGTCAGTATGTCTGTTATTCAGGCAATACAGCAAGTAGCTGCTCTAGCTGGTCAATCAGATTTATCAGTCAGCCAAGAAGTCAAATCAGACATGCAATAGGTCTGCTTGTTACTTGTTCAATCACAGAATCATTTACTGGTAGCTTGTACAAGAAGTTGATCAATCCAGTGTCAGAAAGTAACTCAACACGTTTTTTTTCTTCTCACAAGGAATTTACCTTCCTTCAAACACGGGGAAAACATTTTTCATCACTCACTGGACTCAAAACAGTCTGAGTACAATATTATTACAATACGAATAGCATAAGCAATAGTAAGAATTGATATTCATTCAAAATATTTCTTCGTTTCTGATTGGCTAAAATCCCCATATAATTCATCATAGCCAGTTGTTGTCGATCAAATTTGGAAGAATTTTGCGATATGTGAAAAATGACATCAAGTGTGCAGCAAAATTACCAGATTATTGAACAGTTAACTGAGAAGACCTGGGGACGAGGTTGAGTTGTTTTGGTAGTGAGGACAAAATGGCAAAACATTTCACTTGTTTCACCAGGAAGAAACAGGCAAACTATTGACTAAAAAAATAGCAAGGATACAACTTGACAGAAAACATCTGCTATTTGGAGGATATTTGCAGCACTGAAAAATCCCTTTATCTCCTAAAAACTTGCCAATAAACATGCATTATCAAAGATGAACTTGATGGAGGTAAGCATGTTTTAACTTATTAAACTGGGAATTTATTTTGAATGAATAATAAAACAATAATATTATTGAATTTGGCTTTCGTATCATCTGAAGAATTAGGGAGATCGAGGAGGGTATTATCCACCAAGGCTGTAAGCACTAAAGCACTACAATAGTCACATACTTGGATCAAAGCTGGAATAACTGTATCCAGTGTTTTAGTGATGACTTCAAAGCTGTAGCTATCATCCTTACGTACAACACTAGCACCCATGAATGTGAAGATTGGCATCACATTATGCAACACCTTTTCCTGTAAGAAATGTTACAATTTAAATTCTACTAAATTACCATCAGTGTAACTTAACTGGGTTTGCAATTACTATGAACAATACAACAATAAAACAACAATCCTTGTACACTGAACATTAAATGGAGGGAAGGTGAGAAGTCTAGATTGCCATCCTGAACTCAAATGTTGGGTATATAAGCACTATCCATTGGATGAATGAGTGTTCAGTGGATACCTGTTAAGGGACCAATTTTGTTTCTGCTGGAGAAAGATTTATCTGGTGGATAGCTTTTTTGCTGGGTTCTGAAAATTGCCACATCATCCCTAGGTAGTGTTCCTTTGAATGCATACAGGCAAACCAGAGACAAACACACAACCCTTTCAATGCCATTCATTACTGACATAAAGACCATTAAATTCATCTGCAATAATTTTTGAGCTACTGTTGAGAAAGTCTTGCTGCAACAGTAACAGTATATTGTATAAGAATCAACACAGAAAAAATAATATACTTACTGGAAAGAACTTTGCTGCTGTTGCAAGTAACAACAGAGCTTGATTGTGAGTTTGTGGACTTTCAGAGGACCTTATACATTGTACTATCAGCTCAACATCAAATTGATCCTCAGGGACAACATCT